TTATTTTATTGGACAGCAATTCATGAAATACTTCCGGCGGTGGCCGAGAAGAACTCGTCGATGAAATACTTCAGTTTTGGCGCTCATGTGGTGCCCGAAGGACATGACATACCATCGCAACCATTGCATGAGCTGTTGGAGCAGTCGTCGAGCAAAGACCCGATCACTCTATCGAAGGGCAACTTCAGTGATAAACTGTATTACATATTCACGTCGGGAACCACTGGTCTGCCCAAAGCCGCGGTTATCCGCAACCATCGGTTCGTATGGATGGGAGTCATCATTAGGTCGTTGTTTAGCTTCGACCACAACGACAACCTCTACCTAACACTACCCCTGTATCACAACAACGCCGGTACTATGGGCTGCGCTCAGGCCGTCCTCTTCGGCATTACACTGACTTTGAGGGAGAAGTTCTCGGCCTCTAATTTCTGGGACGACTGTATTAGATATAAATGCACTGTAAGTACACTCACAATATATCAGATTGTTTTAACTGTTTTAAAGTATTGGGTATAAATTATAAAATTATTACACTTATTGTACTCAACTTATTTAGTACACGAGTACTTTTGAATTTATTAACGTGTAGTGAATTTTTTGAGATAAACCTTTGATTAGAAATTTTTAATTAATTTGAGGTTTATGTTGTTTTTCAATAATCCTTATACAGATTTATAGCATTCCTTAATCTTAAGGTTAGTCTAAGAATAGAAACTAATTTCTGGAAACGATTATTATATTTGAGAGTTAATAAACTGAAGGTTTTTATTTAATGAGAATCTTNTCAATAATCCTTATACAGATTTATAGCATTCCTTAATCTTAAGGTTAGTCTAAGAATAGAAACTAATTTCTGGAAACGATTATTATATTTGAGAGTTAATAAACTGAAGGTTTTTATTTAATGAGAATCTTAAATAAAACAATACTATTGTATAATGAGAGTACTTGTTTTATTGCATTAGCATGAATTGAATGTCTGATTAGTTTCTTAATCTGTAAAATTTCATTTTTGTTAATACAAAACTAAAAACAAATTTAAAATTAAATTAACCTTAAAAATGACAAAAATATTTACTAGAAATGAAAACTTTTCACAGGATTGTGAATACAATCTGATCTGACAGCTGATTATAATGATTACAAAACACTGTTTACATTCAAATATAATATCCATAAAAATGATTAAATCAATGGATTTTAAAATATTTTATTAAATTATTTTTTAAAATGTTAAACATTTTTGTGAATAAAACATAAACAGTAAAAATTCTAATCATTTATAATATGATTTTATTTATTTTGACATTTTCTTAATTATCAACGTTTCAATAAATATTAAATTTTTATTATAAATTCATTTATAATATTCACGAATATTTTCATTTAATCATTATTTTTATTTTATATTTGCTTAAATTAATGAAAAACGTGCGAAAATCATAGTCAATTTAATTAATAGAAAATTTATTTTATATAAAAATAAAACTTAACTCTTGAATTGTCTATAAAGTTATAAACAAATTTAATTAATGATTTATATTATATATAAAATCAAAAATAGGGTGCGATGTATATCGGAGAGATATGCCGGTATCTATTGGCACAGCCGGAGAAACCGGTGGACAGGCAGCACAACCTGAGGATTATGTTTGGGAATGGATTACGAAAGAAGATTTGGACGGACTTTAAGACCCGATTTAATTTGAGACAAATCGGAGAGTTTTACGGCTCTACTGAAGGCAATGCAAATGTTGGTCAGTATTTGTGTCAAAACAACACCGAAAAACATTTTACAAACTTTTTTTAATTAAACTTTTTTGTGTAAACTTGTTTCGTAAGCCAATATATCGAACCGGGAGGGCGCCTGTGGTTTCGTTCCCTGTTGTATCCCATGGTTGTGTCGACTCGTATACCCAGTGGTAGTCATGAAAGTGGATGAGAAGACTGGGGAACCCATACGCGATGAGAAGGGCCTCTGTATTCCCGTAAAGCCGGGAGAAATTGGCGAAATAGTGGGCAAAATTAATGAGTCCGATCCGGCCCGGGCTTATCCCGGATATCATAACGTCGAGGCCACTAAGAAAAAGGTGGTCTGCGATGTGCTCACCACCGGAGATAAGGCTTTCCTCTCAGGAGATCTCATGGAAATGGATGAGTTAGGCTTCTTGTACTTCAGAGATAGAACCGGAGATACCTTCAGATGGAAAGGTATTATTAGTAATTATATTCATTATTAATATTTGTCATAAATGTTAGAAAGGTTCAGAGAAATGATCACTTTTATTCGTAACCTAGAAATAAAAATCTTTGGTATATTTAACCACTATTATACAGAATTCTGTATAACATAATAGTCAATTTATAAATTGGGTATCTTAATTAATAAATTAAAATTTAAAGTTACCAGTATACTAATGCTAAGTGTTCATAATACAGTATTGCTTAGAATTAGGTGGAGTAACCCATTAATATTGCAATAGTTAATTAAACTTAAATTGAATTAGCGTTTCTGATTAATTTAGAATTTTATTTAAATAACATTAATAATATTTGAGATGTTTTTTCAATAATTTATTATTATATCAGATAAATGAGTGAAAGTATTAGAAATCATTGAAAAGACAAATTGCATTAATAATAATTTAATAATAAATAATAAATGATTTAATGTTATTAATAATATTTTATTTCATATTCAAAATGCTATGTTAGGCGAGAATGTGTCGACCACTGAAATCGAGGCCATAATTCAGAAAGTGATTCGTCTGAACGATTGCGTGATCTTCGGCGTCAGTGTTGAACAGTGCGAGGGAAAGGCCGGTATGGCTGTCCTCAGTCGACCACCCAATGGCACAATCGATATGAAAAATTTGTACTCAAGACTAAAGGATGATTTGCCCTCATATGCAGTCCCACTATTCGTACGACTGGTCGACAAGATAGAGCTGACCGGAAGCTATAAACTCCAGAAACATAGCTTAGAAAAGGAAGGCTTTAATCCAAATGTAGTGAAAGACGAGTTGTTTTTCTTGGATAAAAAGTCCAATAGTTATGTCACATTAACGCCACAACTCTACACAGAAATACAAAGTGGAAATATTTTACTATAAATAAGTTATAAAGCATTTACAGTGCATCGAAGTAATTGACATTAAATTTAGATATCAAAGTACCAAATCCTATTCAACAATTGACTGCTCATTACACCAGTTATTTATAAATCAAATTTTAACATAAAATGTTCTCGTCTTAAATTAGGATTAATTTTTTAAATATTTTATTATTGCATTGAATTTTAAATGTTTGTGTTTTAGAGAAATCGTTTTAATTGTAAACTCTTTTCACTTCTTAAGAAAGAAAGAGAGAATAAATTCTTATTATTCTGTGTTTTCTCATGAAATAGTGTTTTATATTATTTATAGTGACATTAGAGGTGCCATTCCTACCATTCCTATGGAGTGCATCTGTTCCTTATTGTCCATCGCATACAGGTATAGGTGGTTCCGCACAAGAAATAAAAGTGACTTTTACTTAACAAAATGCTTTAAAACATTGTCTGAGAAATAGGGTCACGGAATGATCATAAAAATTTTCGGTTACAATAAAAACCTTTTTCCACTTATTTGTTATATATTTAGCAGAATGTGTTGTCCCTGTAATTCAGGTGTTGGACACAAACCTTGACAATCGTGAGACAGTGTGTGTGTATGTGTGTGTCGTGAACTACTCTACTCTACCGGTGTTGCCATTCGGTCACTAGTTTTTATAGCAATCATAAACTTTTTTGCTTCCTTTTAAAGATAATAATCACATTTACCTTTTGCTCTCTGAAGTGGCCATCGATGGCCTCAACGACATTAAACATCAACATTGAAGGGCTCCGACTGTTTTATTATTAAACACTCACACAGTAAATGGGCTTTCGGTCACCAAAAAATGCCAAAATTTTATAAATAATTTCATGACAGAATTTTTTTTATAAATCTAAAGAATATTTATTTTAAACAAATAATTATAACTATTATGAAGATTAATTTTAAAAATATATTTGAGAGACAAATATAATATCTATGCGTTTAATAAGTTAATTTCGGTTTTATAAAAGTGGCCGAAAAATGAATGAATAATTTGTGCCTTTTTTGACGCTTCTGTGAAATAGACTATAAAAATGCTTTTGACTGATATTTTTGAATGAAGAGCAAAAACCCCTTTACTCAATAAAAGTGTGGAAAAAAGTGAACTCAAGTCTATGGGGCAGGTGCTGGACAGTGAGTTAGTGTTGGGCTGACTGGGAGAGAGAGAGAGAGAGAGAGAGAGAGAGAGAGAACTTTTTTGCTTCCTTTTAAAGATAATAATCACATTTACCTTTTGCTCTCTGAAGTGGCCATCGATGGCCTCAACGACATTAAACATCAACATTGAAGGGCTCCGACTGTTTTATTATTAAACACTCTCACAGTAAATAGGCTTTCGGTCACCAAAAAATGCCAAAATTCTACAAATAATTTCATAACAGAATTTTGTATAAATCTAAAAAATATTTATTTTAAACAAATAATTATAACTATCATGAAGATTAATTTTAAAAATATATTTGAGAGACAACTATAATATCTATGCGTTTAATAAGTTAATTTCGGTTTTATAAAAGTGGCCGAAAAATGAATGAACAATTTGTGCCTTTTTTGACGCTTCTGTGAAATAGACTATAAAAATGCTTTTGACTGATATTTTTGAATGAAGAGCAAAAACCCCTTTACTCAATAAAAGTGTGGAAAAAGTGAACTCAAGTCTATGGGGCAGGTGCTGGACAGTGAGTTAGTGTTGGGCTGACTGGGAGAGAGAGAGAGAGAGAGAGAGAGAGAGAGAGAGGGTGTAGTGAAGGGTAGTGTATATCTGTGTGTGAGAGCACCGCCACCACCGATATACTGAACTACTGGTATACTGTCCACTATTGTCCGGTACAAAGTTTTCCAACTCTACGCTCCATTGATTCGGCAGTTTTTGTGTCACTTTTTGTGGACTTTCTTTGATGTGAAAAACTAAACGAAACGAATAGACGAATAGATTGAATGATATGAGAGAGTGAGAGAGAAAAGAGTGAAAACGGCTTTTCTATGGCAGAGGAGGACCGGGAGGAAAGTGAGAGAGAATTTGGCGCAACTTTTATGAGTTTAGCGTTAATGAGGTAAAAACGATACGCAAAGTGTTTAACTAAAGCTAACCATAAAATTCACATTAAATCCACTAAAAGCTATACTCCATTCACTGGCATTGTGTTGCCATTTAGGCATTTGATGTGATTTAAAGTCCTACCTGTGCTCTCGGTTCACGTGTTTTTCTATGCATACGATTCTCTAGAATAGTATACCTGTGCTCTCACTTCGCTTCACATTTTTAATGCGAAAAGTATTTAAGTGTTTGATATATAGATTATTTGGTTTTAGTTATTTCTAGCATTTAATCAATTATTATCAATCACATTTTTATGTGCTTTCATAAAAGATACGCAAAGTGTTTAACTAAAGCTAACCATAAAATTCACATTAAATCCACTAAAAGCTATACTCCATTCACTGGCATTGTGTTGCCATTTAGGCATTTGATGTGATTTAAAGTCCTACCTGTGCTGGAGGTTCACGTGTTTTTCTATGCATACGATTCTCTCACTTCGCTTCACATTTTTAATGCGAAAAGTATTTAAGTGTTTGATATATAGATTATTTGGTTTTAGTTATTTCTAGCATTTAATCAATTATTATCAATCACATTTTTATGTGCTTTCATAAACCATATTAAAATAAATATAAATATTGATGGGATCAATGAAAATGTTTAAAATTTCATACAAACACTGGATACTGAACGTGGAGTACATGATTGACATACAAAACCGATTCTCAAATAACAAACAAATTAAACCGAAATGTTAAAGGGTTTCAATGGAAAAATAAATAGAAAAATAAAAGTGTAAATAATATAACAAATAAACTATAATTTAATGATTATATTGCCATTGATTGGGGAGAAGAGAAAAATAAATATTGTTTTTATGTATGATTTGAAGAGAAAAAACACATTTGAAAAAGTGAATACTTTAATACTATGTTAGAAATGAGTGTTTTAGCAAATAATTGCGTTGAACCGAAAGGGAAAGGGTTAGTATGCTGCAAAGGGACGGTAGTAATTCAATCGCCACACACTTGCAAACCACTACTCCTATACATTTGGCAGATCTGTTATTATTGTTAACTCGAGTATTAGTTATATTTGAATGGCATCACTAATCACTCCTTTTAGGCCCAAATAAATAGTTTCTCTAACTTTCCATTACTATTACTCTTACTTTTGCTTCACTTTACTCTGTATTTAAAGAAAGATTTCTATTTAAAAGAGTTTTCCCTTAAAAATTCACTTTTTTCTCTCCATTTCTTGTGCTAAACTTTGTATACTATTTGAATACAAATACTATTATAGTATTCTGTATATGAGCTCAAAAGTATTGGCAATCTGCAGATGTCTTAAAGATATGCAAATATACTAAACGTGTATTAAATGTAGTTTTAGTGTAGAGTTGGACATGAATTGAGAAGTTTTTGTCATGAAATAAGTTAAGCCTTTGAGTCTTCGTCTTCAGATTCTTCACGCTTTTGCTGACCACTGGTCTCCAGTTTATTGTGTTGTCAATGCGTATAGATTTGAATGAATAGACAGCGAGAGAGAGAGAGAGAGAGAGAGAGGGAGAGAGAGACGAACCCAAACCTTGTAATATAATAGACAAATATAGTATTTATAGTATTTTTCTTATTTTAGTATTCACTTTGAAATACGCTTTTAAGTGATTGTCATTTGAATACAGTTTCGCTTTCATTCGTGAACTACTGCTATAGTATTACAACTCTTTTGCCATACTTTCACTGCTGAGGAAATCCTTTCATAAGGAATAATGCCATAGATTTTCATTCATACAAATTTTAGACATGACTTCATTTAATTGGTTTACTGTTGAGACCTAATAAGACCCTATCATCTAAGTAACAATTTTCTCCTAATTTGTCAATCATTTTAAACAAATTAAACTAATTTCAAAATTACTGAAGTTTTTTCACTGAGATTTAAATTTTCAATATACCCAATTTAAATTGTAGTTTCAAGATAAGTTAGTTAAATTGTTGCCTGTGGTAAAAGTATAAAAACATGATACACCGATAGCTATACAAACCCAAAGAGTTAGTTTCTAATCTATCATATCAAAATTATATCTTTCCATTTACTGACAAAATATGATTAGAAAGTAATACAGTATTAGAAATATTATTTGTTCATCTGATTAGATGTTGGGATAAAACAAAAAATAACCTTAAATTATAGCTACGAATAGAAAACTCCAAAAATTTTATACTTTAGTTCAGTAGCGATGAGATATCATCTGATATGCAATCGGTTAAACAAATCCGGGTTTAGACATAAGTGGATCTAAAGGGAAAGTTATAATTTATAGATTTTTTAAATAACATGAAAAAATAACTACAAAAATGTGGACATTTGATCAATGCTTTAGTTTGGTTTGAGAAAACAATGAGTTTATTATGTATTGTTTATCAGGAAATGAGAGGTCATTCTCTCGACACCTGAAATCTTGACATTAATTCTCAAACGAATGAATAAATTTTTTATATAAAATTAATAACTCGGGCCTCAAATCAAATTAAAAAACATAACCCGAGTCTAAAAATTAATTTTGGGCCTCAAATCGATTAATAGAGAAGTTAAAAGTCGAATAATAATATTAATTATTATCACAAATAAATATATTATCTATTAAATTGAAAAATAAATTCCATTTAAATTATTTAAGCTATTTTTGTGGCTAAAAATAAATTATTTAAAATACAAAATTTAATTCTAATTATATTTTAAAAATTGTTTTCCCACATGTCAAATGATTTTAATATAACTAAACAAATGAATATAACTGTTGTATGGAATTCACATACAGTTTATGTTTAGATGTATTTTAAAGAAATCTTATATTTTTGTAGCTTAAAGAGTAACACCGAATACATGTTGTGTTTGGGATACCTGTGCTCTGAAACGTTAACTATAAGAGTGTAACATAGGAATCGTGTTAATCCACACCTCAATAATTAGATACCGATCTGCAGGTGTTTTCCCGATCCGAAAGCAAGTAGTTATGGATTTCACCAAAACTAATGCAATCGCGAAATGTAAAATACA